TATAAGTAAAAATAATTTTTAATAATAAGTATTGTATCACCCATATGTATGATTGTATGATAATTTTTTTAATTATATATTACACTTAAAATTATATACATGAAATGAGTACCGCAGTTAAAACTCTCTCTATGTTTTCTCGAGTGTTATCAGACACTCATGTACTATTAAAATAATTATATAGTATTGAATTACATTATTTCTGATTAGTTTTTACTATCTCTATTTTTATATATAAGATTTTTTTTTACCTTTTTTATATATTAAATTATCTTTTAATTATTAATTGTATTAATTATATCTCTTTTAAAATACTATTTAATAAATAATTTTGATTATACAAAAGATAAAAAATATTTGAAATTAGTGAGATAAAGAATTAAGAGTTATTATATTTTTTGTAAATTAAAAAAGTAAAATAAATATGATATACTAATAATATTATACTTGTAGGAGATCACATACTGTCATCATCAAGGATATTTTAAACACTGCCCTTATGTGAAAATCACTTCATAATTACTTATTAGATGTCGTATCTTTTGTTACTATATCTATAAAATAGGTACTATGTTTTTTAATTGCTACAAGTATTCTTTGATATATTGTATTTGTATATGAGTTAGAGTAGGTTGTACTCATTCTTAATAAATCTGTTTTGCTTATATATAAAAAAACAAAAAAACAAAAACAAAAACGTGTATCCTATTCCTATGTGAATCATAGGTCGTAGGTTCCTTCCAGATAAAGTACTCTGTATCCCCCGTGGCATTCCTACCCAAACCACTTTTTCTACATAATAATAATATAATATATCCACGTGTTCCATTCAATGCAACCAATCCAAAACTAAAACCCTTTTTATCCATTATCCCACGTCAACGTCACATTCATTTTTTTTAATTAATTAATTTATTTTTTTTATCGTCATGAAAGCAACCATTTCTCTCACCCTTTCTTTTTCCTCGTCACCAAAACCAAACCCAAGGTTTACTATATCTTTTATGTACGGTTGGTGTTGCTTATAATTTTATTTCCATAATATATAAATATAAGTGCATGTTACTAAATTCAAATTTTAATCCTAATCAGAAAAAAAAAAAAAAAGTCAACTAAGCATAACGATTATATATAAAATTCGTCCTCGTTATCGTCATCTACAAAAACAACGTTATCCAAGCGCCTCGTTTCTAACACTTTTTTATTTCCTCAGAAAACCGAAAACAAAGAGACAAAGGAAGGATCATGAGAGAAAGAAGAAGACACGAAGATGAGCAATCTCGAGCTTTGCACGAACTCTCCTCCCTCGTTCTTAACCTCATTCGACTGCCTCCGACGCCGGTCGCCTTCTCCGACGATGCTCCGGCGGCGGCGCGGCCACACGCTCAGATAACGCCGGCGGGTTTGGCCTCCCTTTTGCTCGGAATCTCCCTGGCTTTGATGCTGTGTGGATCGGTCACGTTCTTCATTGGGTTCGTCTTGATGCCGTGGGTTCTCGGATTGGTCATGATTTTCTACGTCGCCGGAGTCGTCTCCACCATCTCCGTCGTCGGCCGCTCCATTCTCTGCTACGCCACCGCGCCCTCGCCGCCGCGGAAGGACGTTCCCGGTGAGACAATGAAACCAAATCAAAGTATTTGGTCTATGATTTTTGATGATGTTTTTGTTTCCGATGAGTTAGTATTAAGAGAAAACTTATATATAATTTTGACTCTGTTTTTTTTTTTTTAATTAAGAATAGAGTTTTATATATAATAAATCTTTACGTTATAAATAGAATTGGAAGAGTAACACCAGAAAACCAGAACGAACTGCTATGTATTATGAATCTATGATTTATGAGTTTTTCTTTTTTCTTGACCAGAAAGTTCTCTTTTTGACCTGTTTTTGTTTGGTTCTAAGAAAGGATCTCTATAATTGAAGTTTTGTATTTTGGTTGGACCAGATAAAATGGATTTTAAATAATAAATTACAACAAATTTGTGTTTAATTTAATTTTATATTGAAATTAGCATTATGTTATATACTTATATGATTGTAAAACAAATTGTAACGCAGAAATATTGATGCATCCCCACCCACCACAGCAATTGTAGAAATTCTCAATAACAATGAGCCTGTGTTAGTTATTTTTTAAATGGTTCCGAATTTGTATATAAAGTGAGTAATTGAGTAAATTTTGTAACTAGTTTATTTGTTTTTGGATATTCTTATTGGTAAATCATTGTTAATTTGTTGTGCAGCGTGGAAGGTTATGTGAAGTGAGAAATAAAGAATGAAAATGAGGACTAGGATGGTGCCTCACGCAACCTATGGGAGCTTGTATGGATCTCCTTTTAGTTGATGTGGTTATGAAATGGGTGGATATGATTTCTCTGTGCATTAGAAATGGGCAAGTAGAATTCTGAAGAACTGCTTACTACTACGTACCTTGGTATTCAATGGTTCTTCCCAGCTTCCTTCTTCCGTTGTCAATTATTTGTTAAATTCTCAAGCTTAGGCTGTTGAATTTCCTTTTGTTTAGTTGTAAAAAGAGAAGGAAAAATATGATTTGACTCCTGAGAAGAGAACAGGGGTTGTACCAGATCAAGAAACATGTTTTCGAATCGGATGCTTGTTGTGTATAATGTCTGTAGCAGCCAATATTATTCAATTTGCATGGGAAGGCTAGTTAATTAATGGTTTATTGTTGCCCATATATAATTCCTTGCTTGCAACTGTCACCAATTCATGCTTCCAATTGTAGTTTTATCTTGTTAAACAAAGTAGTTTTTTTATTTATTTATCAGTTTTTGAATAAATGCTGTGGAATCTCTAGTGCCATGAGTATTATAAGTGGCTTGAAAATATAGGTTCAAAGTTTTTAAACATTTTCTATGGAACTTCAATTTTTAATTATGGGTTAGTTGAGGAAATTAAAACAAAATAAAATTTCAGATTTTGCCATGAGTGCACCTCCAAGACACCCCCATTCCGATTGAGGACATGATTTGGGACCCTTTGAACTCTCGGCATTTTATTTGTAGCTTTTAGTACCAAAAGATACGTCATATATGGAGGGATTGTGCTTATACTATATATATTATTATGACTATTTCGGGATTGTTGGAAATTATATAAGCCCAAGGCAGGATACAAATTTCATATATTCTGGGTCGAGATGAGATATGAATTCTCTAGGGATTGTCCTCCATACCATAACAATTTTAGATAAGAAAGTTATTTGTTAAACTTTTTTTATCAATTGAAAATTTTTAAATTTAACTCTTTATATATCTATCTCAACTTTTACCATGAGATCGATTTTAATGGTTTATACATTGGACCTGTTATTAATTTATAATTAAAAACTACTGATGAATAACTTTTTTTTTAGTGAATCTAAAACTTATGTTTTAGTAGCCTTATCATGGAACAAATATTGTAACATATAATTATATTACTGTTATTCGTACAACAAGATTTCACACGAAAAATACAAAGACATGTATTTGTATTTTATTAGATAGACCAATAGAGATAATAAATTTAAATATAAAATAATTAAGATGGAAATAACGTAACTTCAATTCTTATAAAATATTGTGCATATAATTTCGTACCAATTAACATTTTCCTAATTATAAACCCGATTAAAACAAAAACAAAAAATATATATATTTTTTACTAACAAAGGAAACTGATGTGGGCTATCGTTTCACATAAACTAAAACAATTATAGCCATTAATAATATTAAAAAAAAAAATTATGGGTTCAGTGCGAGAATCCAACTATAATCAATCAAATCACTATGTATACTATTAAATAACACCAGACTCTGTTCCTTTCTTTTCTCTGTTTTCAACTATACTAGGGGGAGGGATTCAGTATGAGGAGAAAACAAATATGCAAACATAAAACACCAATTTGATCCATCCGTACTTAATTTGATTGTATAAAACGACCAACATCAAAACAAAAAAAACCAACCCATATGATATGAATGTGTGAAGGTGATTCCATTCTATGATTCTATCCAATCCAAGGTTGTCCCTATCAAAGGGTAAGGAAAAACTATAGTTTTAATATTCCATGAGGACATGAGAAGTGGTATTAAAAGAATAACAACACATAAAATTATTAAACCTTGACAAAATAAATGAGTGGGGGGTGACTAATTAGCCAGCGTAGATATGCACACCAATAACAACAAGAAAGATGGTAATGAGACCAAAGAAGATGATTGTATGGACCACAATAGACACTGCACTGGTTTGCATGTTCCCAAACTCCATCACTCTGTTCCTCCCTGGCAATTGAATCAACAAACCAGGGCTCAGCAACACAAACAGCACCACCGCTATCACTACTGGACCCCAATCCGCCATAGAAAAATGCTATGCTACCGATACAATATTTCAATCAATAACCAATGACTGATGGAAGGCAAATGAAAGCACTAGAAGCTGAATAATTAGGAAATTGAAGATGTCATGTAGATCATGGAATCGATTAAAATCCAAGTGAATTAATGACAAATTGTGAAATAACTAGGGTAAGCTACTAGCTAGGTAGCAACCACTAAATATAGAAATAGTTAGTTTTGGTTTGGGTGCATGTCATGGTCAGTGGTGACTGGTGAGGTGTTTGATGAGTAGTATTAGAGTAAGCAACCATTACGTGCCAACATATCATTAATCTAGATTTTGGTGTGGCTTTTCATTAATGGAACTTGCTACTTACAAGATAAGATCGAATCAATTAGTTTTTGTCTCTGTAGCTGAAAAGAGATGAATGAAAATATGATTGGTGTTGAGTGGGAAGACACGTTACCCTGTACCCTTAGTGAGGAGATTAATTAAAGTTTTTTTTTTTTTTTTGTTTGCTTATGAAAATATTAAGTTTTGAGATTTGGACATCACAGTTTTGACTGGGAGTAGTGACTGAAGTTTTTATAGTAGTACGAACAAGAAATAAATTGAGATAATTGTTTATGGGAATATTTTTCCAAGGTGAGAGCATTTATTTATTTTTTCTTAATGTGATGAATAACATATATTCTTGGAAAATATTAAACAAATAAAATCCATATCGAGAATATATGCATGATCAGGAATATTGAATATCAAATCTAAGGTATTTTAGGAGAAACTATTTGGTTTAAGAAAAACATCTTTATTTTTATTTTACTTTTAATTATAATATCATATTATTTTTATTTAATTACTTTTTAAAATAAGATGAAACTGCTTTTATGATCCATCTATTTTTGTTGATCTATAATTTTGATTTCTTTATTTTAAATAAAGATATTTAATCCTTGAGACAAAAATTGTGTATCAATCAAATTTCATCTCTCCAAAACCAAGTATAATAATATATCACAACCACTTGCAATAGTTGCTGCATTGCTTCTCAAGGGCGATACACGAAGGACCATGGGAATGGCAGGTAAGTCTTTTATTTTATATATTCAATCTCGTTATATTGAAATGCGTAATGATATATGTACGATATCATTTTTTTTTTTGTTTATTTCTCTATATTTTATCATTTATTGCAATTTAAAATTTTCCCTCTTATCTCTTTTTTTTTTGTACGAGTATTATTATTTCTCTATTGAAATTATCTGTTTTTATAAAGCTTTCACGTTTCATGCTATCTAGTTTGTCTTGCCTATGTGCAGGAGTAAAGAATTGCTAGACCAACCAAGAATTGTTAGAACAAGAAGGATAAGTGCATCTTTGAAACTGTGTTCATTATGTGCGTCTTTCAATAAAACCATGTTAAGTGGTGCAAATCACGAAGAAGTAACCCATTGTTGCTTTTAGTAATTAATAATGATAACATGTGTTTGTACACTAAAGCGTTGAAAATATATCGATGCTGTTTGGCTATAGTGTGATTCAATAATATATTAACTATCTCACATACTTAATTCTTAGTTTATTCGTATGTGATTTTATTAAGTAAAAAATAATAATTTCTTGAATATTAATAAATATGTTTTGTGTAATTTCGATTTAAATTATAATTAAATTTTAAATCTAGACACTAGATATATGATATGAATTTAACTCCAAGCGTGACACGCTTAAGCAAGGTTAGGGGTTCGAATCATGTCTTGTGTACGCAGTTGCGTTAAATCTTGGGACCAGTTACGCTACCCTTTGAGGTGCCTCTAACGTAGCGAGAAAATTAGTCACCGCTATTAGCGGAAAAAAAAAAAAAAAAACATATGATATGAATTTAAAGAGTAAGTCAATACAAGTGGATTATAAAGCAGACCAGGCCCAAAGCACAATGAAAAGTAGTGTAGGATCCACCTTAAAAAATACGAATGAGTAGGAAAAAAAAAAGAGCTGCGTTATTAGGCCGAGCCCAGTTCGTCTAACAGAGAAGAGGGGAAACTGTTATTAAAACGCTTCACCTATCATAATTATAACTATACACATTAGGATTCCAACCTAAAATCTCACAATTTTTACTATTAAATTGATTTTAAAGGAGTATTTGATATGTGAAAATTTTTATTTTTTTAAGAATCTAATATAAAAAAATGCTAGTTTATTGTGTTTGATTCTTTATTTAAAAAATAATGTTTCAAAGAAATATTATTTTTTGAAATAGTTTTCGAATAGGTTTCTCACAAAAATATTCCTATAGAGAAGTGGGAAACTAACCTTACTGAAATAAATTTTTAATACAATAAAAATATCATATTATCTTTATTTATTTATTTAATGTAATAAAAATCTTAGTAACATTTAAAAATATTTTTAGAAACATTTTTATCAATTAAACAAATTTTTATAATTCTCAGGAATCATAATTTTAAGCATAATTTTTTTTTCATGTACCAAACAACCCCTAATAGTAATATATTTTCATATTGAATCGCAAAATCAAAAAAAAATAAAAAACTGGTAATATGTAAGTACTCTTTTTTATTATTATTATTATTAGTAACGAATTAATTATTATACAAATTACTGATAATTTATATATAATTAACAATTAATGATTACTATTATACAATTTAGTGATTTTTTCATAAAAGAGAATTTTTTTTTATAATCTACCCTTGAATTCTAAACTTATAAGTGATATAAGTTTTTTTTTTTACGCTTTGGAATAATATCATAATTAAATTAATTTCAGTTAAAAAATATAATTTGTAAAGGATTCATTAGTATATATTACTAGAGTTAGTTTAGTAATTAAAGAAAAGTTAGAGGTTAGTGTATAGTTTAGATGAATATTAATTATTATAGCATTTAATGTCAAATCATAATCAATGTTATAATTTTAATGATTAATGAAACAACTATTTAGTGGTAAAACTAAAATTTTAAATTCTAAAAAATTTAAAACTAAAATTATAAAAGCAAAAATTAGACAACAAAATCACGGAGACATAAATATAAGTCGCAGATTAGTCGGAGATATAAATATACAAAATTAAACATTACTTGGTGAAAAAATGCAAATTAGTCGCAGATCTGTATAATAATTTTAGTCTTTTAGACAAGGAAAAAAGATTTAAAAAAAAAAAAAAAAAAAAAAAAAAAAAAGAGTAATTTGATGGAGATATAAATATAGACAGCACCGTGGATTGATGTGTGTGAAAGTGAAACGTACTTATATGATAGTATAGAAAGGTTTGAACTTGGAGTTATACATCTCTCTCAACAAAAACATAAGACTAATGCATATTAAAGTGAGTACAAAAGCATGAAAACGAAAGAGAATACAAACGTAGTTGTTACTTTAGAATAAGAACTGGAGAACATAGCAAAGTGTAGGAAATGAAACATAAAAAAAAAGATGAATATAATATAGTCTATAGTGTTGACCAAGATGAAGTGGTTGTTAGCCTATGTAAAAGTGGACCTTAATGGCGATCAAGAAGAGACAAATGAGACCAAAGTAGAGGAGAGAATGAACGAGAATGGAAGCACCACTTGTCTGGAAGTTTCCAAACTCGACGCACCTTGTGCGACCAGGTACCTGAAAAAGCAACCCAGGCATTAAAAGCACGTATAGGACCACAGCCACAACCACTGGCCCAAAATTCAACATTATATTCTTCCAACACTCCTTCAAACTTCAAACCAATCCTTATTGCTTGATTCATGTGTTTCGGTTGAATATATATATATGGGGTAGAGGGTTGGATGATTAAGCTACCTTGGATTCACTTCACGTGCCGCTTCTCATTCTGCTTTGGATTAGGGATAACTTGCTTCTCATGCTAATTCTAACTATCTATGTGCTTCCCCCATTATTTCATCCTCAAGAAAGGAATTCATTATACCCACCAATTTATCTTTACCAACATAGATCTAATCTTTTATCTTCACATCTCCTCAATACCTTTGTTTTGCTAGCTCCATAAAAATTTTGGATCTATCAAATCTTAATGAAATGGGTAAAAAATAATAATAATAAAGCTAATAATGCACCACATCATTAAGCAATTAACGTGTTATATATGTTAGTAATTAACCAATTGATTAATAACATCATAAGATTACATAAAATTGTTAGGTGGTAAACTTTGTGAAATCAAGAGATATGAATAAGAAAATGTGTGATTAAACTAAAAAAAAGAAAATACAAACTATTTTCCCATACCGACTAAAAATTTATTAAAACCAACGAACTGGTGTTCCCGGATTTGGCCTGTTCAAAATTGGTTTTTTATAGCAGTTATTTTAAGGGTTAGTTTTGTGATTTATTTTGATAAGGTTGATAGGATTACTTTAAACTTATTTTAAGGAATAGTTTATGTTTTGTGAGGTAGTTCAACTATGTAAAGTAACATGTGGCTATGTGTATTTGTTAGTTTTGTTCTTCTTACTTAATTTGAAGCTTTCTTGGTTGCTTCTTTAGTCTCTTCCTCGTAGTAAAATTTGGTTTCATCAGTATCATTTAGTCAATAAAATATATACTTTTCATATTCGATATTTCTATGGATTAAGACTAAGAAAAAAAATCGAAATTTTTTAAAAATATTTTAGGCTATGCATGACTTAGGAATATATAAAATCTTAACGTAAAAAAGAAATTTGAAAATAAAAGATAAAATCATAACATGAACAATTCAACTACAATATTAATACTTTTATCTAATTTTTGTTACATATGATTCCTCTGAAGAGATGTCTAATTATGTTCTTAATTAATTATTATTCCCTAGACTGTTACCACCATATAGTATATACTATAGTCCAGCCATATGAACAGAATCACGATAAAAAGAAGTTTGTGCTCACTAATCCTTCATCACTTTCGTAATTCTATGGATGATCTCTTGTCATCAATAGACTTGACTTTGATTTTCTTTTACCTTCATTTGTTTAATCCCTCTTAAACACACTTAGCTTAATGTTGCAAATTAAATATTGCTAATATACTTATTCAAAGTCACTATCTTTTCTTTTGGTATATTCTTATAGTTATAAGTAGCTGATTTTTTTAAGGAGTATAGTTGCAATGAGCAAGTTGCAATTTTCTTTTTTCTTTTTGGATTGAAATTAAGCATTCTATTATATACGCGTGCATCCCAATAGTTACTTATTCCAGCAAATATTGGACCAAATGAAAAAGGAAAAATCAACAAACTTCGACTTCAAAAGCAAATGATGTAGGGTATGTCTCAGATAAGTTTTTCGGCTCTTTTCTTCGACGACTTCAAGAGGATTAGGTTCTCATGGATGTATTTCTACTTCTTAATTGTTAGGTTGACTTTAATTTGAAAAATTTTACAAATTAATTTATACAATATGGTTTTAGTTTACGAAAAAAAAACTTCTTTTTTAAAAATATTTATAAAGAGATTTATCCAAACATATTATAAACATTGACTAATAAATATAAAAAAAAAAGATTATAAACATTGTCAATAAGAAAAGAAAATTAAAAGACAAAGAAAGTGATACATGTTATTACCTTTATTTTTATTTATAATACCTGACTTAAAATAATTATTTATTTATATAATACTTAATTTATATTATCTCATATATTAATTATTTTTAGACTAAAATATCTCTAATTAATATGTGTTTTTAATTTGATAAAATATATTAATTATAAACTCTTTAAAAAATATATACTCTAAATGATTAGGAAAGAGATGCAAATTAATTATGAAAAAAATAGTATAAAACATATATTTTTATTGGTTAGAAGATATATAATTATTAATTATAAAAGAAAAGTAGTATAAAGATAATTTTAGAAAAAATATATAAATAAATTAAATTTATTATAATCAAATAAATTAAATTTTTTTATTTTAGTAAAAAATAAATAATTAAGAGTTTCTATATATAAAACGATGATAGTAATTGAATGGGCATGTTTTTCACAATCAGTGGTTGAGCGTTGAATTTTGACCGCTCTATTAAATTAAATAATTTTTTAATAATAAAATTATTAAAAAGCATTAATGTTTTAAATTTTTGACCGTTGTTCGTATAGTCTTTGAAAGATATAGCACTTCTCTTCTCAAAAAGAATTGCTTCATCGGCCCAAATTTTTTTTTTTGAATCAGTGTCTGAATGTATAAAATATTGATATTTTTTAATAAATTTATTATAAAATAATTATTTAATTTAATATCTTATAATTTTTTTTAATTTCGAAATATGTTTCAAAACATATTTCTAAACGTGTAGAATTTTTCCTTCTCAAAAAAGGTTCACGTGTCTCACAATTATTTGCATTTGTTCATATTTTCATGTCTTCACTCGATAGTGAAAATTGTACGGAACATGAAACTTTCTACCGACGACATAATTGAAAAACACAATTGCTATTTACACTTTGTTAGTCCTGTAAATCGAATTCGATTTCTTCATTACACATTTGTTGTAAGTAGACGATTTTGTTAGAAAATATTAAGCAATATTTTGAAATAAGTTTATCTCTAATTATTCATAAAGAAATATGTTTGATTATAAACAAAAAGCAAATTAATAAGAAGAAACTCTCCAACGAATTTTTCTGATCAGGACATTTCTTGTCTATAATTCTCTCTTTGTTACGGTTCTTCTTGTCTTCCGACACTTTCATAAACAATTCAAATTATATTTTGTTTATATATGTAAGTACAATCATTACACGAACCACATATATTCATAAAAATTATTGAAAATAAATTTAATAAAAAATATTTTAGAAAAAATTATATCATCAACTATATATCTTAATTTAACCAAGTCAATTGATTCGAAGACTTGCATTATGACATTGAGGGTTGACTTCATATTTACAAATTTAATTTCTACCTTTATTAACATAAATAAATAATGGTTGACCATAAGAAATTACGTGAATATAAATTATTTTTTAATTATTAATTTAAGATACTGTATCAATCATATTTATGAATAAAAAATAAATTTAATTTATAAATAAATTATAGGATAAAACATCATTTGGATCCTTTAAAATATATATCATTAACACTTTAATTTCTGAAAGTATTAAAATTTAAAAAAGATTCTTAAAATTATAAAATATTATCTAAAAAAATGCTACTTTAATGTATATTTAGATACTAAAATAATAATAAATTATTATTTTTTAGAAACTTAAACAAAATAACTAAAATTTTAAAGATTTTCTTTTTGAGTTTCCTTATTTTCTAGAATTAAAGTGTCATAAACATGTACTTTTAGGAATCAAATAGTATGTTATTCAAAGTCATATCACAGTAATAATGTTTTTTTTTGGACAAAACTTAATACAATTAAATGTAATTCTCTGATTGAAAATTAAAGTTTTGCTTTGATATTATACATAAATATATATTAATGAAATTTTTATTAAATACAAATAAAAACATTAAAGTAAATTTTTAACTTTAATTAAAAACAATATTAATTATGATTAAAAAATTCTACTTAAATACAATTTTTATCAATTAAAATTATAATATGGTAATAAAATTTGAATATAAAATATTGGAAATATTATTCCGACATGCATTATTTACACTAAAAGAAATATCTAAAAATGTATATAGAATGATAAATATGAGACGATAAAGAATTGCATAAAAGGACAAAAGAAAAAAGGTACAAGTAAAGGAAGGAAGAGGATTGGTCTGAATTCATTAGGGATGTAAAATAATAAATAAATAAATAAAAAATGAAATGTCACCAAATGTTCAACTGAGGCATGGTGTCTATGTCAGTGAGAAAATAAGAAAGTGCTTGTGCTGGTGGAGAAGCTCAAGCTCAACCAAACAGGCCCTTATTCTCAGTTCTGTAAATGCAATTTCTTCAATTCTAGTTCCTTTCTCCTTCACGCGATCAATTACTATGCCTCCTGGTAAAACCTAGTTGCTCCTTTCAGCTTTTTCAATTTCCATAGGGCTTAGCCGTGCTTTTTCTAATTGCTACAATGCTGTCTTTTCATTCACGGTAATACTCTGCTATGTTAGAGCTCAAATTCATTCGTTTGATTTTCGTCTTTTCGTCTCTGTTGGTTCAACTTTGTGCTAGCTTATAGTACCTTGCACCTTTTCGTGAGAAATTCGGTCCTATTGTTTACTTTGGGCAAGACACAACTTTTTTTGAGGAACAATTGTTTGGTATATTGCATATAGAAAGGAGGATTAAGTTCTTAATTCTTAGTCAACAATCAGAGAGTGGTCACTGGTCACTATTATTTTGCCAAAGTTTTGTATGGTCCCCATGGGGGAACAGAGTCAATAAGTTCTGAATTGGTGGACTAATTGGACATTGTCATGGAAGGTTTGGAGTACGACATCGATGATCTGTTTCAAGAAGCTAAGAAAAGATGGCTGAAACCTGTGGAAGTGCTTTACATTTTACGGAATCACGAAAAGTGCGAGTTCACCCACCAGCCCCCTCATCAGCCGGCTGGTAACATTTGCCTTCTCTTTATTAAAATTTGTTAAAAAATGAAGGAAGGTTTTTCCGACTCTGTTTTGTTACTGGATTATGTGTTACTGTCTTGCTGATTGTTAGAAGCATTGCTGATTGGCTTTCTTAACAGGTGGTTCCCTGTTTCTGTTTAATAGAAGAGTCTTGCGATTCTTCCGTAAAGATGGTCATAACTGGCGGAAGAAAAAAGATGGCAGAACTGTGGGAGAAGCACATGAACGGCTTAAGGTCTGTAAAAAGGGTCTTTAGTGTTATGATCATTAAAATTTTTCACGAGGGTGAGGCTTGGTGCAACTGTAAGGTTACGGGTTCAAATTCTAGAAATAAGGCTACATATATCTACCTTCCCAAAACCTCACCAAGTAGGAGCCTTGTGTACTAGGCTGTCTTTTTATGTTTGACATTTATTTGTCTTGCTACAGCTCCTGTCACCCACTACCATCTGACCACTTTTGACATGCTTTATGTTTTATGAAAATGCTCCATTTTGCACTCTAATTTGCAATTTGCACTCTAAGAACTATGCAGAAAAAAAAGAGAAGAAGATGAAACATAAAATATCTGTACCATACTAATAGCTTGAAGTTTTCATGCCAATTCAAATTTGAGCTTCTTCATCATCATCACTTTCCTTTTTATTTATTAGAGGAAATTGAATTGAATAATAAAAAATTGACATTGTTGCTGTTATATCTTGTATGCATGATATATTTGTACTTGGATTTTTTTTTTTTTTTAATTTTTTTTTTTTTTTTAATTTTTTTTTTTTTTTTAATTTTTTTTTTTTTTTTAATTTTTTTTTTTTTTTTAATTTTTTTTTTTTTTTTAATTTTTTTTTTTTTTTTAATTTTTTTTTTTTTTTTAATTTTTTTTTTTTTTTTAATTTTTTTTTTTTTTTTAATTTTTTTTTTTTTTTTAATTTTTTTTTTTTTTTTAATTTTTTTTTTTTTTTTAATTTTTTTTTTTTTTTTAATTTTTTTTTTTTTTTTAAATTTTTCTTTCTTGCTTTAAATGCAAAAGTTTAAAGATCTGAGTGATGAAATTACAGTCCACAAATCTACTAAAATATTGGGAAGAAATATTCAAATCTCAAACATATTGAAACAGGATTATTAAAGATCCTTATTGGAAATTGAGTTTTTAAACCTATCTCCTAATCTTCTCTGTACCACAGATAGCTTCCAAAAACCTTTTGAAAAAAACAGCAAGTATTTTGTTTGTCTAACATTCTATGTGCATGAGCTGTAACAGAACACTGAGATGTAACCGATTTATTGTTTAATAGTTTTACTGGTATTGAGCATTTTTTGTTTTTAAATATTCACTTATTTTTGCTATATTGATGCCTTTGTGCCAACATTTATTTTGTGATAGAATTCTATGTATTAATTTTCTTGATTTGATTGATCATATAATCTGCATGGTTAGGTTGGAAATGTTGAAATCCTAAATTGTTACTATGCACATGGAGAGGAGAACCGTACTTTTCAGAGACGGAGCTATTGGATGTTGGAGCCGTGAGTAGATTTTAACTATTTGCTGACTAAAAACCGTATTATTAAGATTACCACTACTAGTTGTAGTTTTTAAGATCTACATACAAGCTTACAAAGTTCATACCGAAGGTAACTTAATATTACAAAGATAAAATTATCTTCACTGTAAAACAAAATCAACCTTCAGTATATGTAAGTATGTAACTAATGTTAAGACATGTTTGTTTATAGTGCATGTTCATATTTACTCAAACACTTTTCTTTTTTGACAGGGAATATGAGCATGTTGTTCTTGTGCATTACAGAGAAACAAGTGAGGTGAGTTTCCAGATCATGATATCAGATAATATAATATGGTACTTGCTGCTGTGGGAACCCTTTTTGAGCAACACATCTCACTGCTCACTGCCCTACACTCCTATGGTCCTACCCTGTTTCTGAAAACTAAAATGTTACTTTAAGCACATCCTCCCTTTTCCATGTTCACATTTGGAACTTCAATTAAATAATTTAGTTTATTTGTTTTTCTTATGAAATTTCACCCTCTGTAGTATTTCTTACGAATACTATGTTTCTGTATTTTTTAATTCTTTACTTTATCTAAAAGTGTAAATGACTTGCATAGTAGCCTGGGAGCTGTTTTTATTTCTTCTAAAAGTTCAATTCTCTCGCTTGTTTTTCAGTTCTAAAACTACGATTAATAAAGATGTGTATCAGTATTTCCAAAGCAAATTCTGTTCATCTATTACTATATTTTATATATTGCAAAATAGTTATTACATTATTACTCCAAATATGTACATCAAAGAGCTAAAATTGTGATGAATTGGACATTTGCAATACCGTAACTTCTTGAAACTTTGTTTATATGCTCCTTTTGAATGTACTTAGCGTTATGCTCAGCGATATTATTCTCTAACTATATTGATCTCCCCCCTACATGTTACTTGCAATTGCGCCTAATTTTAAGACCAGGTTCATTTTGGATAGCCATTCTCTAGTGTGGTCTATGATTAGTTATTTAAATTTGTTATTAAAGATTCATTTTCTAATGCTTTGTTGCTTTCTGGAACTAAATACTTGATTTTCTGATTTTTTATGACTTCAAACGAAGATATATTCAAATCTTCATATGAATCATCATTTGGTGCCTCTGAATAGCAATTTTCTGGTCACATTCACCATTTGCAATTAGTAGATTGTTTCATTGTGCTGCTGTTAGCCATTAGACAAGACCATCTTTTGGAGGGGACAATGTTTGGAGGGTATATTCCAGAAGGAATAAACTGTACAAATAGCTAGAGGGTTAATTTAAGGCAGTTACTAGGTTAGGTAATTAAATAGGGGAAACTGTAGTGGAAAGGGACCTTTTTAAAAACAACAGTAACTGAGACATTCTCAGTATAAAGGACCATTTCCTCTTGTATCTTATTCTTTAGATTACAGTATCACTCTTCCTTTCATTGCTTGGAATTGTATCAGCACCCCAAGATTGAGTTTGACATTGCTGTTTAAACTCACATTTTACAGGGGAAATCCAATTCTGAACCTGTCTCACAATTGTCACCAGGTTCCTCTCCTTTGTTTAGTCAAAGTCATAGCTCGTATTCTGCTTACAATCCAGGGACTACATCCATGTTTGGTGATTCATGTGAACCTAATCAGAATTTCTCTAGTCCTGGGTCTTTAGAAGTTACGTCTGACGCTCAAGCCTTGCGCCAATTGGAAGAACAGCTTAGCTTGAATGATGACAGCTTCGATGAAATTGCGCTTAATTTGACCTCATGTCAAGATCAAAGGGTGGTTTATAAGCAAGATAAATCTGCAGCTTCCTCTGGACCAAATGATGAAGTACAACCATATCATGGATATAATGCAAGACAAGGTAATATAGACAAACTTGAGCCGTTAAGAATTAATGTGTTTTTTGGAAGGAGGGGGAAGGGGTGGATAAAATTAATACATGTTTGAAGTTAGTGAAACATTTGAGTTATTATCCCTATTTTACACTTATACCTTATATTGTGGTTTCACTGTTTTGATTTGTTCAGTTATAAATGTTTGTCTTCTACTTATGTAACATATGCTGGTGGCTTCTTCCACCCTCAGCTAATTTGCTGTGACTGTTGAGTTCAAATAATCACATGCTTATTTTAAGTTGTCTGAGGCTATAATAGCCATATGTATGACCATATCTTCTTTTCTTCTAATTTGGTAACGGTACCCTTCTGTATGATAGATTTTGTCTAGGTGAAACCTAATACCCCAATTGTTATATGCTGGTTGTTTCATGTGAATCTTAAAAGAGTGTAGTATGATTGTTGTGAATCACCTAACCAGAAATAAAAGGTTTGAAACAACAGCCTTGCAATCAGGTCTCTTGATCTAGAACCACTCTAGGAGCTTAAGGGATCTTCATAAAAATATATTAACCATGCAGAACAGTCTTTAAATATTTAATGCACAGAACTCCATGTTACATTATGTAAAAGTTGTTTATCCTCTTGTGTGCAATTAAATTAAAAAAAAAGTTTTGTAATTTGAGACATTGATTATTGAAGTGTTTATTGTAAATTAGTTATTCATCCATGCAAACTTTTATCTTTTATTTTTTCCAAACTTTCTGCTTTATATTGGATTCGATTTATTTCCAAATTCTTTATATCCATTTATAATGAAACATCAACTGTAAAGAGAGAAAAGCTAAATCTCCTAAAACTAATGGATTTTGTGTAGATGACAGTGGCACAAATTATCATGACTTACTTGATGATGCTCTTGATGGAAACGAAAAACCTATATACTGGAAAAAGGTGCTGGAATCGTGTAAGCCCTCATCTATGACTAAATTACCAGATCAACATGCATATGAGGCATTTGAAAACGTGAGTATTCCCAAGACATACTTCATGCTGTTATGAATTTATAATTTATCTTTGCTGAAGTTTCCAAATAATTACATATTTCTGCATTTCTTGAAAGAATTTTAAAGCTGTAATTTGAATGCTATTTGTGTTAATTTTTCTTTTGCAACTTGTGAAGAAATAAAATCTCTCTGCTTAAAACAGGAAAAGTCATTATTTTCTTCAGGAAGAGGAATGACTGCCAACCTGGAAAACAATCACTGGCTAAACTCCAACAGTAAAAATGTTGAAAATTGTATGACTTATTTCTACATTAACTTACTTGACAACTTCCCTTTTTTGCTTATAATGAAATTTATTTCATCTCTCTTTGATGTCCCATATTGGCAGCTGTTTTCTCATTTTCTCAAGACAATAGTGGAATCAATTTTTCTCCATTTTCTCTGGTAGAAACTCCAGGAACTTATGAAACATATTTTGACCAAATCCAAATTCAAGAACCTTTGGCTGTTGATTCAAGCTTGACTGTTGTACAGAAACCAAAATTTATAATTAAGGCAGTCTCCCCAGAATTCTGTTATTCCACTGAGGCTACAAAGGTTTGTGCCTTTTAATTTCAACACATATTATGTCCTATGTAATGATTTATGAGTCTGCATTAGTGAATGTTACCTGCTGAATGATGGGAATGTTATTGCTTTTGGTTGCTTACTGCTTAGATTTACCTATGTTCCTAAGGAGCTTTAAAATGCATACACAGCGATGGTTCAAATATGTATGCATTTATTTTGTTTTTACGTGATTACATATATAATAATTAGGGAGTTGTCATGCAAGCTCTAAGCTTTTGATTTCAATACTTAACCATTTAGGTCTGTGAACACCAAATTTTAGCTTATCTTTTTTATGTATTTACTTATTCTATTTGTTTGATCTTTTCTTTTGGAATAAAAAAGTCAATAAAAAAGAAAACTCATTTCTCTTTATTTTATCCACTTAATTTGTCCTCTTAAATAATAATAATAATAAAAAAAGATGTTACTAAAATAGAAGTAACTGAATCTTTTTTTAATTTTTGTTCAAATTGCTAAGGCAAAAAAGAGAGAAGATGAAAAAAAGGTACGATAAAAACGAAGAGTAGAAAAAAGTCTTCCCAATTTTAATATGGATCCATTGATTTTTATCAATTTTCGCTCACCTGACAGGGGCATATACTTTGTCTCTACTCTTTCCTTTTGAACTTTTATTATTTAATTTTTATGTATGATATGATAGATATTATTGATGCTGTCTATATTTGTATCCTAAACTCCAAGTTATATGCATAGGTGATCATTATTGGGTCATTTCTCTGCCATCACTCGGATTCAACCTGGGCATGTATGTTTGGTGATGTTGAAGTCCCTGCTGAGATAATTCAGGATGGCGTAATTTGTTGTGAAGCTCCCTCCGATCTTCTTGGAAAGGTGAATTTATGTGTTACTTCAGGAAATAGGATACCATGCAGTGAAGGGAGAGAGTTTGAGTTTCGAAATAAGAGTAGTAGTTGCGCTCCCTGTAATTCATTGGAAACAGAAGGCAGTAGAAGTCCAGAAGATCTGTTATTACTTGTTCGATTTGCAGAGATGCTCCTTTCTGCTTCAACTGAAAAGGGTGACAACAGAGAATGTGGAAGTCATCTTTCAACAAAACAGAACGATGATGATGATTCATGGAGCCATATTATAGACACTCTTCTAGTTGGCACTGGAACATCATCTGGCACTGTTGACTGGCTTCTTGAAGAGCTGCTGAAGGATAGGCTGCATCTCTGGCTTTCTAGCCGATCCCATGAAAGAGATGAAGGGACAGGCTGTTCTTTGTCAAAGAAAGAGCAGGGGATTATACACATGGTTTCTGGGTTGGGTTTTACGTGGGCCTTGAACCCCATTCTCAGTTGTGGTGTGAATATAAATTTCCGTGACATAAATGGATGGACGGCCCTTCATTGGGCTGCACGATTTGGGAGGTAATAGAAAACTGAGTTATTGATATTGATATGCAATGGTGATAGCATCTTTGTTTCAAAGCTTTAAATAAAATATGCTTGCTAAAATTTGTTTAGAAACCTTTACTTTATCCTTGGTCTTCCCCTATCTCTATTGGTCAGACTGTCCTCCATATGATTAATACTTCTTACCGAGGCCTCTTTTGGTATTCTCAAATTATCAAACATATTAGACCAAATTCTGTCATAAACGATGATCCTATCAAAGATTAAAACTCTTGATTTTAGAAGCCTTTATAAATTATCTGTTCCATTCTGAGTGTTTTGAATGTTGAGTCACTGAATGGTTTTATTCCATGAATATGGTAGGGAAAAAATGGTTGCTTCACTTATAGCTTCTGGTGCATCTGCTGGAGCAGTGACAGATCCAAGTGCACAAGACCCAACTGGTAAAACTGCTGCTTCTATTGCAGCCAGCCATGGCCATAAGGGATTGGCAGGTTATCTTTCAGAGGTAGACCTAACAAGCCATCTGTCATCCCTCACCCTGGAGGAGAGTGAGATGTCTAAAGGATGTTCCGAGCGTGAAGCCGATTTAACTGTCAAACGTGTCTCTGAGGAAAATATTGTGGCCGGTGAGGATCAGGTTTCACTAAGAGCTTCCTTGGATGCTGTCAGAAATGCAGCTCAGGCAGCTGCACGGATACAAGCTGCTTTTCGTGAACATTCTTTTAGAAAACGGAAAGATAGAGAAGCTGCTGCTGCTGCCACCGCAGGCTGCATTGATGATGACATTTCAGTGCTTATGTTACAATTTAGTCCTCGGAGCTTGCGTGATTACAATTCAGCGGCCTTATCAATTCAGAAGAAATATCGAGGTTGGAAAGGTCGCAAAGAATTCTTAGCATTGCGCCAGAAAGTAGTTAAGATACAGGTAATACCGTAATAGAAGTTATGTTGTTATTTCAGTTTTTCCTGTACTATTTGAATTACAAGAGTTCTGCACGTAGATGGATATTAACACTATCAGACAATTCGTAAAGTGAATAAATTTATTTATAAATTGACGAGGAGAAGGGGGAGATAAAAGTAATAGTTATAAACATGCACATACATACATCAAGAACTTACTAGTAAACTTAGCTTTTCTATCTTGATTTGGGCAGGCTTGTGTGAGGGGATATCAGGTTCGGAAGCAATACAAGTTAATATTATGGGCAGTTGGAATCTTGGACAAGGTTGTGCTACGATGGAGGAGAAAACGAGTTGGTTTACGAATTCTCCAACAAGAAATGGAGACAAATGAAGATGAAAGTGATGATGAAGATTTTCTGAACGTGTTCCGAAAAGAGAAAGTATATGCATCAATTCAAAACGCTTTAAAGCGGGTGCTTTCCATGGTCCATTATACCGGTGCCCGTCAGCAATATAGACGCTTGCTTGACTTGTATCGTCAAGCCAAGGTAAATAAACTAATCAACGTAAAATAGAAATTATAGGTCTGGGATACCACCAGTTGTTATGACTAAAGCTTTCATTGTCCATTTCTTTAATGTGAGTCAGAAATAAGATAAGTGTAAAGATAGCAAGTAGCAACACACTATATTTATTACTTAGAGTACTTTTAAATAGCTTCTCTAAAAACACTTATAAAAGAGTAAAATAATAAAAAAATGAAATAATTTTTTCTATAAGTTAAAATTAATTTATACATAAATTAAAATTAAGTTTTTCGAGAAATTAATAAGAGAGTTCTTTCAAATAAACTTTTTTTGTGCAATGCATAACTTGTTGATTCTTTTACAGACTGAACGTGGCAGCACGAGTGATGAAGCACCATTATCATATTTGGAAGAGGAAGTTTTCAAAATAGAAGACGATGATTTGTATCAATTTTGGGAAGCTTTCAGGCCTTCCTAGTTTTATTTCTCTCTGGTGATAAATTTCTGGCTTCACCGCTTATATGACCTTGTGTTGTGTATTTGGATGTGTAAAATAAGCTTGAGGTTTTAGTTTGTAAATTAGTATAGGTTGTATATAGTGATAATGGCGATGGATACTTTATCTTTTTATGTACAAATGGCTTCAATGCTGGTAGGATAGGGTTTCAAATTAAGTGGAGTAAGTTTCTATATTATTTATTTGTCTTACTTTTTCATTGGTAGAACTGGACAACCAGCCTGTTGGGCAGGCAAATAAAAAAATGTTAAATATTAAGATATTAATCTGATTTTAAATAAAGAATTTGTAAATTAATTGTAAAAAATTAAACTGGTGTCATGTTTATTACAATTAAATAAAGATAATCATGAGTGAGATTTATCATCAATCCAATGTGAACCTCTACTAAATCGAGCTTTTGAAACAAAAATGTACAAAGATATCACTCTTCAATTCAATAATAATATCACCTGTTGATTAGATAATTATATAAATTAGATGTATGGATATTAGAAAGTGGAAGAAAAAAAAAGGTTTTATTTTAAAGTATTGGAGTGAGAATGAAAGGAAGATTTGAGGGTAATAATTCATAATAAATAGAACATATAAGTTTAACTTCTTACATGGATGGCAAAATAAATTTGCTGAAGGACCAATATTTTTATATTTTTATTTCATGGATGTCAAGGATCACAGATGAAGATTGAATAGTCAACAGAAGGACCCCACCCTCTCACTTATTTTGTGGTGAGGCTAAGTCATTGAGTTGTGTATAGATGTTTCCCATGAAAAGGTAAGTAGCACTAAGGCCACTTACAAGGTTGGATGACGCTAGAGATTAGGAGAAGACCGAACAACCAAAACCAAAAGGCCACGTCTCTTGTGCGTTTCATTTCATTCAATAATAATAATAGAGCTCTTGGCGGTGGGTGACCCTTTTTTTATATTTTCGTTTCTAAGCAAGCATTTGTCTCCGGTGACTATGGAAAAAGATCGAAGGCTGGAGCTCGTCGACCAGGCAATTCAGAAGCTTATACACGACAACACCAACAAAGTCCATGAATCCCTCCATAGCCATGACACAGACACTCAATACCAAAACGCTCTTGCCCAACTTCTCTCTGTCTCTCAGGTATCATTCTTATTTGCAATTCATGTTTACTTTCCCACAACCACAACCACAATCGCACAAATCTCATTCTTTTGCATATCAGCAATATTGCATTTACTGCCATGCACATCATATGAATACATCTATTTTCTCTTCTTCCTCGATTATCTTCAAAACTAGTTTCAAATTTTACCCTTACGTATGATGTTTGTTTATTTATATAGTTTGTCAAGATTAATATTTTTGAAGGTTAATATTAGTTTAATTCCTATAATTATTCTCATTTTAAATTTTAGTTAACAAAAAAATATGTAATGACCAAATGAATAGTTTAACCTTATGTTAATATTGATGTTATCATTGTTATGTATTGAATATTTTAAATGGTTGAGATTGGTAAACGAGTGCTTAACTTATTAGCAGTTGAAAGTGTTGAAAGGAGATGAGATAGTTGAGCAATATGAGGATGCTGAGGATGAAACGAGTGTTCCTAGTTCTTCTGAGCCGGTGGCTTCTGTAATTCAGAAAACAGAAGGCGAAAATGAGGATGCTGAGGGAAGTGAAAATGATGAGATAGTGAAAGAGCTGAAGGAGGTGAAGAGGCAGAACTTCATAACTCATTGTCTTCTTTCGGTGATGATTGTCCTCACTGTGACTTGGCAACTATCAGAGGTCTCTCTTATTTTGAGGGTGAAAGATGGACTAAGCCACCCTTTTAGATCCTTTGGAAATATGCTAAGAGGGATGGTGAAAGTCCCAAACGTGAATGGCCAGGAAGCTGATGACAAAGAAAATTCAACTGAATCTTCATCCCTTCCTTCTCTGGGGATTCCAGATATGTCTCACAATGGATTGACAGGAAACGAATGAAACTTGCCGTTTTCTTTAAGTGCTTGATCCGTTCTCAGTTGGTTCAAGATGATAATGAGGGGAATGGATTTGCAGCTCTCCCTCCCAATGTTCATAATCCCACTTCTTGTGGCGTTTTCAACTGTTAATAGGTTTTGAGTCTTCTTGTGCATATTCATGCATTACCATTGTTTCCAAATTGTCATGTTGGTGGGGTTTTAGTCATTTCATGGAAAAGTTCAATTTCTACGGACGCTTCTTTTTTTAAAAGGGCACCTGGATTTTATACAGACTCTGACCAAGAGTTCAAAGGGAAAGGAAAAAGAAAATTTGAGTGCAATTTCTCAAAAAACAAAATTTAAGTATAATTTGTACTATTAATATTATTTTTTAATGAAATTGAAATTTTATTTCAATAATATACATATTATTGAAAAATTCGAATTAAATGTAAAATACATGTTATCAAAATAGTCCTCCAATTATGGATGGAAATCAACACCAACAATATCTATTGTAGTATACTTAAGTTTTTGTTATCACTATGTTTTCACTATGTATCTTCACCGTATTTTTTCACCAAACTATGTGAAGAGGACAGGAACCAGCTGGCATTCTAAGCAACCTCGTAGTGTTGTATTGAAGTTTGTTATAGCAGGAGAAATCAGGAAGGCAACAGTGTACCTGAACTCTGATTTGGTCAGGTAATAGCAGAAACTGACAGAATATTCTGCATTAACCGCTGAGCACTGAGCAATGTTTATGACACCACTCTAAGTCTGAATTTCACTACTGATGGAAAAAGAAATTCCTTGATCTAAGAGAATAATCAAGCTATGGCTAGCTCACTCGTGCTGGTCATCTGCGATTTAAAACTAACATTTAAAATTTGACAATAAAATCAAATATAACAAAAAACATAAGGCGTGCACAAATCAATATTTGGTGGTAAAATTTGTCTTTTGAAAGCAAATATATCAAAGTTATCAACCCCCAATTTGCATCAATCCTTGACAACAATTTATCCTTGAAAGCGTTTTCACCAATCGCAACAGAAAAATCTAAACAATTATGCGTTCAACACGAACCAAAAAGAACCCATTCTCAATTGCAGATGTTTGGAGCAAAACAGCTGTAGGCAAACTAATATGGCCTTTCTTGTTGCATATTCAACAGTGTATCTTCATGCATAGTTCAAACGGAATATGTCATTCAACACATAGTAGCCTCCCTGTGGTTTTGGAGTGGTGGCAGTGTTGGAAGGGAAGGGAAGTGAGTTTGGCGAGGATGTTGTGGGAGCCTTGGATCAGTGGATCTTCTGACCCTCGAAGGATAGCATTGAAGCGTCCTCGCAAGGTTGCTCCGATTGGTATCGAATGTCGAGTAATAGTGTTCCACGAAACCCTTCGCCAATGCGTATGCGTCTCCATCCATCTCTCTCTGCTTCACTCTCACGCACTCTTCTTCCCTTGTCATACCATGATAAAGGTAAGAACTTGGTATCTGTAAGTTTTTTTTTTCCACCTATGCAAATCTAGATCTATAAGACAGCTAGTAGTATTCTTATTAGGTGTCATCCCCTGTCTGCCTAAAACCACCTTTCTTCAACATTAAGCTTGCTATTGTAATGCTTCTTCATGTGTAATTAGGATCAAGGCCCACTTTTTTACGTTAAAAAATATAAAGTTTAGTTATTATAGAGTTCAATTTGATGACAACTCTCCACCCTTGTTTAGTAAAAGAAGCTTGGTTAAAAATATAAAGTTTCTAACTTCTTAATCCCAACTCACCCCTATTTTTAGTTTGCCATAGATATATCCCATTTCATCCAATGAATTCTCCTCTCACCACCCCACCAAAAGTTGCACACGAGCTTCTCAAAATATTCACAAAAGGAGAGAGGTGTTAAAGCATCCCATTTTCATGGCCCAACCTCATAGTTTCGTTCACATACACATATTTGCATGCTTTTTATACGACATCTCCCTTCTAGTCTTCTAGGTAATCTTGATAGCAACTGGTAGATGCATCTATAATTCGGGCTTCTTCATTTCTTTTTCCCCTCATTTTTTAAGGGTTGTGTGACATTCTCTTCGTTATCATATATGAAATGGCAGACCAATTGATTGTTCATTTTCAGGAATTCAAAGGTTTTGATTGTGTGACATTCTCTTCGTTATCATATATGAAATGGCAGACCAATTGATTACATTTTTTTCAAAGGTTTTGATTGTGTGACAAAGGTTAAGGTCATAGTAAGCCACATTTAATCAACAGGATTGGATTTATCTTTTTGATAAAAAAAAAAATAACATTTTTTAATATAATTAATAGAGTTGGATTTAGTAAGGGAATAGTTTTTCGTTAAGTAATCGCAGTTTATATTCATTCGGGCAAAACTGTCCACAATTAATGTGATGATTTAAGACTGTCTTAAAAAATAAAAGCCACATCCAAGACCAAAATGAATCTTCTAGAACAGACATTCTTTTGAAGTTTTTCTTTTTTTTAATCTAATTTTTTTTTATGAGAATATCGATTGGAAGTGTTGATAGAGTTACTTAAAATTACGCTTATTAAATAAAAATAAAAAAAAATAAAAAAAAGGCAACTCATTTATGGGAATTGGGAAGTTCAGGTTGACAACAAATTTGAGGCTTTTCTGGGGGGTTGATGCAGTACAACAGTTCGCTTATCTAACAGTTGTTCTTTGAATGTGTCTATGGCTAAACTAGAAAATTGGAAACCAAAACATACAAAATTATGCTACAACGTGAAAGGTTTCTCAACATCACAATTTTGCTTACCATGCAGATGCAAGGTTCAACATCGAGATATGTAACGGAGGCGCCGAAGCTTGAAGCATCTAGCCACCATCATACTAGGGCCCAGTTCTCGATGACTAACACAGACGAGTGTGAATCTGATTCAGTGTTTTTCACAACCTAGCAGAGTTGATAATTTAGCAATCAAATTGTTGGTAATTGCATGGAAGCAATAAATACGAAAACTATATTTACTTTCATCTAGAAGACAAACATAAGAACAAAAACCATTCACTTACTGATACATAAAAAAAAACTGCAGTTTTATCGCCTTTTACCAAGGTGTTCCTAGGATGAGGCATTCGTAACACAACTAAAGTAATGTTTACATGTCTGAGAGTATGAATAAACGTGAATCACTACAAACCCATATTATTATCATCTACTTTGTTAACCCAGCAATGAACATTAGGATTACGTACAATACCACCAAAGGCCTGCAAATTGCAAAGAACTACTACATTGGAGGGGGAAAATGGCAGGTCATTGCTGTTAGAGATACAAGTGAAATCATGCCACTGCGGTCAGGCATGGATGAAATGCAGTACCACATGCTATCCACTGTCGTTTTCTCCCACGTGGCACCACGCACCCGGGAACCTTCAGCCATTCTTTCCTAGCTATGTTGTAAGTAACCAATCGGTTCATTTGTTTTGATCTAAGTGACAACATGAGCAAGCCTTTGTTCCCCAGGCAAGTCATTCTAACGTGCTTCCCATAAAAGTCCAAGCACCATATGTTTGGCATTCTGTCAACCTCCTTCCACAAGAGTGTCATTCTCTGCAGCTCCCATATGCATACACATGTAGCTGCATTTTTTGTGAGCAAACCCACAAGCATGATCTGGCCATCACACTCAGCCAGAGTGTGGTCGGTCAGATGCAATGGCGCTGGGATTATATATTGTTTCCAAACCCCAGTTGCCATATCATAGGAAACAATCCCTTCTGGATCTGAACGCATGAAGTAAAGCGTGCTGTCAATAGAGACGGTCTGAGACCTAAAGTTGAGTGACAATGGCAGCTTCATACCCGCAGGCATGTTTCCTGGACGACTCCAAGAATTTCTGACTGAGTCATACACTTCATATTCTCCATCACCACCCACCCATAAGATCTTGTAGCCTGAACCAGTTGAGTTTCCATTTGTTGTCATCCCTACAGCAACACGAGACCATACCTTAACTGATCGAGCTGGCAACTCCTTGAAGGATTGAGTCAGTGGGTTACAAACAAAGAAGTTTCGATGACCAATGTCAAGAAAGCAAACTAAACCCCCAGCAGAAGCCACTGGCAAAACAATCAACTTTGTGGGCGGTGTTGATATAGTTGGGTGATGCCATTTTTTCAAAGAAGGGTCATACATGGCTCCCGAATTCACATTTTCATGGGTAATGGTGTAAAACCATGGATTTTCTTGTCGGATTTGAGTACAATGCTGAGAAAAACTTTGAGAAGTCAGCATGGAATTCCAATGCCGACAGACAGAACGGAAGCGGAAAAATGTGGCAATGGGAAGTCGTGCAATCACAGCCTCAAATAAATCTTCAGGAAAATCTTTCCAAATTTCTTGTTCCATAACTTCAGTAGCACTGGATCTTCCAGATGATTTGCCCCTGCTTCTATCTCTTCGAGACTTCTTGGGAGGTGGAGGCTTTAGAGGCTCTGACATCCTGAAACTGCCAGACTTTCCAGTTGTCATTACAAGGCCACAAAAGTCGTCTACAGAGCTATCTTCAATGTCAAGAGAGGTCCATCTGTGAAAAGTATAAACAAATTCATAATTCATATGATTCCTAACATTAAGTAGAAGTAGAACCAACATTCCTACAAAGATAAGCATTATCCACAGATAGAAATGTGTAACTGAAAAGCAGATCACAGAACTATACGACTAAAAATACAAACTTATAATGAAGTCCAAATTCAGACTGAGCCCACGAAAATTATAAAATGGAAACAAGAAATTGCATGCAAGGTTAAACGATAACAAAGTAAATAACAGATGAGATGAAACAATATATTTAAAGAATCAAGAGAACTCAAAAGAAGCATAATTTAAGCACGTGTTTCATAATTTTACATTAGCAAAACTGCCCTGCAGTACATATCTTAATGTGTACAAACTGTATATAACTATAATTAATTTACAACATGACAGTTGTTGATACACCAGAAGACTCCACTTAGGTCCTATATGAATAAATTTTTCCGTGAGTACTTATAAGAGAAGAATATAAAGAGTTAAAATGAATTAAACTTCTCCTATAAGTAAAAATCAACTTATGCACTACAAACCTTTATAGAAATTCTCTCATCTAACTTCTTCAAAATCTGGGATACAAAAGTTGATTTTAACTTATGGAAGAAGCTTAATTCATTTTTCTATTTATTTTCTTTTTCTAAAGGTCTTTTTTAAGAAGTTTACTCAAACAAGACCTCAAATAACAACAAAAGCAACAACAATGACGGTTTTATTCAACTAGTTGAAGTCAGCTATATGAAACACATGACACCATCGGACTCAATTAAAAACAAAATTCTTAAAAGTGTCCTAGCCTAGGTACCAAAACAGACATTTTAAAACCATAATTGTAAAAAGAATTGCAATTTCGCATCACTATATTTAGTGTACAAGTGTGATGCAGCAAATATCTTTATTGTACTAGGATCTTGTTTTTTAGGGTGAGCAAAACAATCAGTGCTTCTCAGGAATTCAATGTGCATTTTCACGGGATGAAAAACAACATCTACTACATGTACGGCGCCTCACAGAAACAATGCACAAAATCCAGAAAACTTCTACTTATTCACTAACAACTACCAACACGCTAGAAACAATAGGCATTCAAATATTAAAATATCCAAAAGTTAAACCAAATAATGCAGCTGTGATCTCTGCAACGATTGGTTACTCCTGACAGAGCCAAGTATGATAATGCACAGTTCATTAAGCGACTGTTCCTAGCTACCTTTCCTGGTGCAAGTGTATATTCCTAGTTTCTTCAATGCTTAGTCAAACAAAGAATTAAATGGCAAGAGAAGAAAGTTGCATTATCTCATCCTCCTTGCATGTCTCCTAGATCTCTCTAAATAATCACATACATACACATGTGTGTGTGTGTGTGCACAAGAGAGAGTAAAATAACTGAAAAAAAATAAATAAAAATAACGGGCATCCAAACCCAGCTCTTCCCCCCTTTGTCTTTTCCATGTAATTAAACAAGTGCTCGAAACCCAAACAGTACCCCAAGAACAAAGGAAGTTTCCAAGCAATATAAAACGAAGGAAGAATACAAGAATGACAAATTATAGCCAAAAATAGGTTTTTTTTAAAAGAATTTAGAGTTATAGAAAAAGGCGAGGAGAGGGGAATTGTTAGCATTTTAGGGTATGGTTATGGTAAGTGAAATAGATCTAAGAGAGAGAGAGAGAGAGGGACCTGGGTTGTTGAAAGAGAAGAGTGTTGCGAATGAGAGATTGGTAATGGAGCTGACCAATTACTTGCTTCAGCATGGCCAGCCCTTCCATGCCCGATTCAACTTATCCTTCCTCTTCTCACCCGTGCGCTCCACTTTTCTTATTTATAACTATCAACTTTCAACTTTCAACCCATCTTTTCTACTTTCTCTTAATTCATTCTTTTTTCTATTTTCTCTTTTCTTAACCCTACTTATTTAACCACCCAAATCTATCTATAACAACTATTTCTCATTGCTCATTACACGCATTTTATTTTGTCCTCTTATCATCAGAGAGAATCTTCCCATGCCTTTCAGCTTTATTATAGCAACCCTTCCTTCAAGTTCCTTCAATCGGCTTCATGTCTTTGTGTTTTGATTCTTATCACATGTGTGTCTGGATCAATTTCTATACATAAATAAAATTTTTATAAGAGAAGAAAATAAATGAATGATTGATTTACGAATAAATTTATTTTAATTTGTGAAAAAAAAAATTATTTCATATTTTCCTTCTTGGTTTCTTCTCTTAAAATGCTTCTTGAAAAATCTATTAGCAAAAAGAGAGAATAATATTGCCGAGAAGAATTTTGACGATCAAATAAATAAAAGCCTAAAAATTGGTGATTTTTAGATAAAGTCTCGGAGTCCATGATGACAATGTGTGTTTTTATATTCTTCTTTTCAATAATTATATATTTTTTTTATATTTACATACGAGATTTTTATCTTTAGATGGCTTTTAAGTTAGAGTGATTTTCTTTTTTAAGATAGGAAAGATTACAAAAATGATCGCAATGAAAATTGAACTTAGGTTTTTATGTTTCTAACTATCCAAACTCTTCCTCACTCAATCTTTAGGTTAATCTTAATGATCAAGTTAAAGTGATTGAATTTTAGTTAATATAAGGTTTAAACACATGTTAATTAATAATATGTAATTTTTTTAGGGCAATGTATCATGTTAATCAATAACCTGTTTACATTGAGTGATGACTCTTATTAGTTGTCATGTATAAAAAAATTACTACATGATTTAAGTTAATTATTATAATCTAAATAAATCTTCACATCATACATAATTAATATTATTAATAGAGTTAATCATCTATAAATTGTCAGTGTAAAGTTTTTTTACACTGGCAACTAATCATATCTTTTAATAGTGTCATGTCAGTTACTTATTTAATAAAATAATAATAAAATAAGTAACTTTAAAATATATGATTAGTTATCGGTATAATTTTTTTTACATATATGTAATATATAAATTGATCGAAATTATCAAATTCGTGAGTTATGCAACAACTTTTCTTGTGACTAAAACGATTATAAAAACATATTTAACGTTTAAAGTAGAAATAGAAAAAAAAAATTATGTATTATCAATGTAAAGTAATTTTATACTAATATCTAATTACATACCACTATATATTATGTTTGTTGATTTTTTATATTAATTGTACATGACTAATCCTAGAATAAAATGGTTAATCCGAACTCATTAAAGATATTTATATTTCTTAATTAAGAATAATATTTAATCTCTAGTTTAAACATAAAATCATCATAGAAACTATTATCATCATAATAAATGTCATTATAAATATAATATATATAAACATAAATATATTTGACATGTATCAATATATAATTTATGTTGATTTTAAATAAAATTTAATAATATATATTATGTATTATTATAACTTTATACTTTTCAATCAATAATATTATAACATATATTATATATCTAATATAGATATAAAAATAAAATAATTTTTAATGATAAATATTATGTCATTATAAAATAATTGTTTTGTAGTGTATTTTATTTTTATAATGAGTTGATGCAGTGTGAGAATTAATATATCTCGTAATTATCCAATAAAATAAAAATAAAAAAAACATAGTTGATGCTTGAAGTATAAAATATAAAAGAGTGATCCGAATTAAAATCATAATGTAGAAGATTATATATGAATAGGTTGGTGCACATATAAAAGTTTGCTTGACAGGAAATTAGGCACCGATTGCACCAAACACTTTGTGTGGAATTTGTTGTTAGGCACCATACCCATTTGCAGGTTAATAGTTTGAGGAGACCAACTAATCGAGTTTGGTCAGTAATTCAAATATGAACTCAATGTCTAATTTACATACCTAGATATAGTTAAGGTTTTAAGCTCGTCTACTATATAAGTTTAACATGTTAATTAAATTATAAGATATAATGTAAGTTGCATGACTTGCATCAACTGTTGGCGTAACGTTATCTCTGACTTCTGTTTAAAGATATACTCCAAACTCCAGGGCACGCATGCAGTAGTTTCGTGTGATGTGTTTTATAATATAGTTATGATAATTTTTATAATATGATAAGTGATTAATGGAAAAATAAGAGAAGGACAAAAAAGAAAAATGAGTGAAAAATCAAGGTAATTTAATACAGAAAACTTGATAAAATCAACCATGTTAATTCACATATTAAAATCCAAACCTAAATGTTTGATAAGCCAATGGCTCAACATCGGTATATTTCCAAAGTGAATATCAAGGTACTTCTTAATTAATATGTTATTAGGCTATTGCTTAACTAATAATATAAGACAACATTGAGTATTAGTCTTTGTAATCTCTCATTTTCTAGCAGCATTTTTGTTTATTAATTGGTTGGTGTCCATTTTACATATGACAATATTAGTATATTTCCAAATATGTCATTAGTAGTGGCTATCGCTAAACTAATAATAAGATAACGTCGATGATTAGTCTTTGTAATCTCTCATTCTCTAACAGCATGTTTGTTTATACGTTGATGTACACCTTACATGCGTCTGTCATAAATTAATTAATTATAAATTATTGTTCACGGATAAATGAATATAATTGGCGTGATTTTATTACTTTACATATGCATTGAATGTGTGTTTAAACATACATTAAATCTAACTAAAAATGATAATAGGATAAATGCAAAAAGGCTCATGATATATACACCTCCTTTTTTGTATAAGTACATCTCCTTTTTTTTTTAAATAATTAAATTTTTAAAATATTTTTAATTTTTTTTATTTTTTAATTTTACACCCACAACATTTTATTTAGTAAATTTTTACACATTTTTTTTTCTTTTCAATTTTTACATGTACTCCCTTATTACCTTTCCTTCACTGTAGCTTACATGTGACAGCCACTTGGCATATTCCAATGTTTAAGAACTCCAATAAGATCTGACACGAGATGCTCTTAGTGGCAAGTGACAATACATGGGCTTTGGCCCAAATAAAGCTCAAAATGGATATGGTTCATATATATACACCTCTTTTTTTTTTAATATGTACATCTCCTTTATTTTTTTTTAAAATTATAAAATATTGTAGTTTTTTTTTAATTTTCTAATTTTACACCTTCAATTTTTAATTTGCTACTTTCTTCTTTTTTTTCACACACTTTTTTTTTTCTCTTTTAATTTTCACATGCTACCAAAATAGGTGGGGTGAAGGAAAGGTAAGGAGGTGCATGTAAAAATTGAAAGAAAAAAAAGGAAGATGTGTGAAAAAAAAAGTACTAAATTAAATATTGTAAATGTAAAATTAAAAAATTAAAAATATTTTAAAATTTTAATTATTTTTTTTCAAAAAAGAGGTGTACTTATAGAAAAAAGGTGTATATATCATGAACCATGCAAAAATCATAATCTACTATCCACGTCGAACACTGAGGCCCATCTCGATACTCATTCGCCTAACAATATCAGCCAACAGGCAAGCCCCCAAATCGGCCCAATTCTCATCCAAGAGAGAAAAATCTTAATTTACATTAGGCACATGATAAACACACCTCCACTCTCCTATAAACACACCCCCTTTTAAAAAATATGTATATAAAATGTCTAAATTACCCTTAAAAAAATAAAATTCTTAAATTTACACCCCCTTTCCTGCCCTCCTGTTTCCCGCACCCTCCTTCCCCGCACCCCATACCCCCCTTTCTCGCACCTTTTTTTTTTCTGCAACTTGGGGATGAGGAAAAGAAGTAGTGGAAAATACAGGCAACGCAAACAGGGTTTGGGAAGATCCAAAGACAATTAGAATACATATTTAAAAAAGACAAGAGAAAGCAAAAAAGACAAAATCTGAGACCAGTTACAATTCTGCAATGCTTCAATTGAACTTATGAAAATGGTGATTGCAACCCAACATGTACCAGGAGCTAATTATTCACCAGTCATGGTGCCAACATTTGACAAGCCATCATGATAATTTAAAATAAAAAGACTCAGATCTGTGAACCTTCTAAAACTGTATCTATTACTCTAAATAGGAGTAAACATTTACCCCCAAAAAGTGGGCAGAGATTACCCATGAGCCAGAAGCATCTCCTTGAGAGTGAAGAATGTTAATTCCATTCAGAAGAAATCCATATAGCACTACTCACCAAAAGCATACACCTTAGCATCCCATCACTGCGCAGTTATACACAAAGCTCCCTGATTGCCTGCTAGCAAACAGGTTCCACTGTGGTTCACCTTCACCAGGGACACAAGCATTGATCTCAATTACCCTTCCATCTAAAGCTCTTGGCCCACCAATAACAATTAGACGATTTCCACATGCACGAAAGGCTAATCCCCAGCCATTCATCGAAAGCTTCGGCTGAAATCCTCCCTGGCGCGCCGCTCCTTAGTGCCGCACCACCACCACCACGCCGCTCTCGACCTCGAGGACCAGAAAATCTGTCGCATGAGGCGGGCCCTCGACTCCTCCGACATTGAACTCGTGAAGCTCATGGTAATGGGGGTGTGGGGTGTGGGGCTGCGGGGAAGGGAAGGGGGTGTGGGGTGCGGGTAACGGGATGAAAATTTAGGAATTTTATTTTTTTTAAGGGTAATTTTGATATTTTATATATTTTTTTTAAAAAGGGGGTGTGTTTATATGAGAGTGGAGGTGTGTTTATCATCTGCCTTTACATTAAGATACGCGCATTATATATATGACTTGCACATCTATAAAAATTAACTTAAACTTCGGAGTCTCTTTTGCAAATACATTTCCCATCTCGGAGTGATCGACATGTCAAGCAAGAGAAGACTATCAATCTCATAAAGAGATTGCCCCTAACACATACTAATAATAATTTTTTATTACTTAACACTAACATTGTAAATTGTTTATTAGTTCACACGCGTTGCTTAAATTGAATCAAATAATGTAAACTTGTCCAAACTTAAATTGTCACTGCATCAAATACCAGTACATTTTTGTGAGAAGCTTATATGAAACTATTTTGCAATGGTATATATACTTTGCTACTTTCATTCACCAAACAATAAACTTACATC